ATGTCGTCTTTTAACTTGAAAAAAATTCTTAGACATTGTGAATTAATATTTGTTAAGATAGAAATTTTGTATTGAATGAAAAAACCTTTATCAGCCCTCAGAAGGTCCTGCAATATTTTACTTTATATATACCAAGTGATGAAATATTCTTCAACAATGTTTCATATAATATTTTGTGGTCGTCCTTTAACTTGAAATAATTATGAGACACTGTGAATTTATATTTTAAGATAGAAATTTTGTATTGGATGGAGGAATATATATCAGCTTTTAAAGATATAAAATATTTATGTGTTCTTCTACTTCCTGTAGCTCAAGATATATTCCCTGATATATGTTCTGAAGACAATGCCCACACTACACCCATTTCCCCAGCTCAATCTGCATCGCCCACTCTCCGAGATGTGGGCACTCCTAGTCGATTCCCTTGGCAACACGCCTCTACAACCTGATCCCATCCCAATCCTCCTTCCTTCGTCGGCATCGCTCTGAACTTATTGAGCAATTTTATTTTTTGGGCGGCAGACGTCGTTGCATAAATATTTCGTTTGCATGGCGAGTCTGTGTGTGCAGATTCAGACGATGAGTGCAATGCGAGTACTAATGAGTGCCAGATCAAAGTCAATTTTGGGGCCCACGTAAAGTCACGCAATATTGTGTGGAGGCAGGATGCCAGGATCGAATCAGAATCAGGGGGAGCGTCGTCTTGGGGAACCAAGCAAATTGTTTTACAAATTGCTTATACATTGCATTGGGTTCTTAAAATGGGAGAGGCGAATTGCATATAAGGAAATGTTCTGAAACGTTTTGAACGTCTTGCAAATGTATTTACTTTTTTGTATTTTTAAATAACAATAAAATATTCATAATAAATTCGTATTAAATGCCTTGACTAATAATATTTATAATTTTTTTAAAGGGAATTTTAATAAAGGTAATTTTAATCATATTTTTAGGGTATTTCCACGATCGACTCTCTGTTTTTTTGATGTCTCCTTAATTTGTTCTTGCAAATGTACTAAGTTCTTTTGTTGTGTCCAGAAGAGAGAAAAGCGTGCAGCGCACGTACCTACAAAATTATGATCTCGGCAAATTGAGTTCTGGCTGAATGGGTTTTTGGGAGTGCTAACGAAAATTGCCGAAAAATGAGCGAAAACGTGCGATCCAATCGAGCGCATGCAAATCGAAATTTTAAACCCGAATAAAGGGGTCTTCTGCGGTCGCAGTGAAACTGATCCGCTTAGCTTTGCTGACCGGAAAGTGCATTAAAAGCTGACCAGCAGGACAATGGCTAGGAATTTTTTTGGGAAAAGGTTAAGCGGTCCAGTTTGGTAAAACAAACAACTCGAGGGCAGCGAACAATGGAAATCCCAGTGCAGGCTTTTCTAATGCAATTAAAATTTTCTTGTGTCGTAAGTCAAATGCGAATCGAAGCGTAACCCGTTGGTCAAGCCAAGTGTTTGTTTAGTTGCGGTCAGTTGCGTTTGCTCAAAGGATCAGCGATGGGATATTGTGAAACTGATCCGGCTCCTTTTCCGCTTTCCACAGGGGTCAGCAAATCGCGTTAGGGCATCGAAATGTTGAAATTAAGCGTTAAATGGAAAAACAAAAGCTTAATCTCAAGAACAAGGCAATGAAAAGACAAACTAAGCGGCGCACAAAGGAGGCATAATTGCGAAGGGGTCATCCATCCATGCATTCGCGGCATTGCAGGGGTTGCAATGGGTTAGAAAATAAGGATGGGTGGGTCTGGTCAAGCTCGGGATCGGTTATAAAAATCGGATCTCCGATGGGGTGGACACTTGAACCCTGGCGTTGGTCAACGGCGCATTTATGACAGCAACCAGTTTTGCATTCTTCCTCAAGCTGCGGTTATTTGCAGAGTTTTGACGCTGGCCGCGTAATGAAGATAAACGGTTTACAATAAAATTTTATTGTCCTTACACCACCGGCTGGCGAGTTTCGAGGAGCTGGTCAAGGATATTAATGATTGGCTGACCACCGAAAAAGGACGAAGACGTCCCATGCGGGACGGGACCCGACTAATAATGCATTCAAAAAGGTGTCTAATGCGCAAATCCTGTTTAGATAGGGCACCCAGCATAAAGTCGATAAGAAAAGGAACGTCAAGGATACAAATGTGATTTGATTTCCGCCCGTTTGATTCGCCATGTTTTTGTTAATTGATAGAGTTTTTAGTTATGGAGCTCGCTCACAATCTTAAAAAAAATGTCTTTTTGATATTATTTGATTTAATTAAAGTTTTTGAACGACAACAAGATAATCTCAGCCCAGTGAAAAGATGGTTTTAAAGATGCTTAATGATCGTCCTACGTCTGATTTTAGAACTAAATGATTTCTTAAAGGATATTTCGAACTGGTCACCTTTATTTTTGAGTAAAGAATGTTACTTACAGTAAACAACTGTTTACATATGTAAAATATCAGTAGAATTCGCAAGTACTGTCGAGAGGCAGTAGATGACGCTTTTAAATCCTGCGTAGAATGTAAAATATCTTCTTTTCGTGTAAAACTGGTGTAAAGTGTGTAAAACATAAAAAGTTAAGAACCCTGAAACCCTGAATGAAAGATGTATGTATATATATTTTTTAAACAACAATTTTTATTTAATTTAAAAAAAAAAAACAGACGTGAAAAATAAAAAAAAATATATAAGATATACAGGAAAAATTATGATGTTTTACCTTTTATAAAATGGCGGGGATCAATTTAATGGTTTAAAAACGGTTTACGTCTTTTATTTGGAACAAACTTTAAACAAGTTACAAGAAAAAAACCCTAAAAAATCGTTTTTTACCAAAAACCCACACTCTTATTTTCCTTGGACAATTTTTGACCAAGTTACACCCAAAAAACCAGATCCTGATTTTCAAAATTCCAATTGAACAAAATGAAGCTAGCGCAAAATATTACATTTCCTAACCTTGACATAGACAACCAGGGACTCAATGGAAGTGTTGTTACTATACTTTCGGGTTATCAGCAATTCCTTCTCAGAATTTCACTCATTGCTATTTTAATACAAACTGAAATGGAAATCGTTTCTTATCAAACTTAATCAATTTTTTTTATGATTTTAACACTTAAAAAATATTAATCTTAGAACCCCAATGTCCTCAAAGTTTTTCCTTAAGTTGATTTTGAGAGAGAAGTGAGAATTCTTTACATTTCAATTCAGAGAGCAAGAGATTTGTAATAAGATCGGAGCTTATCATGTAAATACCATCAGTCAGTAGTTGGCGTCTCATAACGTAAGTCCTATTTAGTTTTATACGGCTCCTTGCAGTTTTCTGCCTTATTCATCTTGGAAACGGAGAAGTTTGCTGTTTGCGAATCATATAATATATATATAATAATATTACCGAGACCTGTTCAGGTCCAACGTTGCCTATTTTCCATTGCGACGGTATGAATGCATGGCGGACCTATTATGATGGTCCACGGCCATATCGATCTGTGCAATAAAGGACGATTATCTCTGCTTGAAATCAATAAAAGCAATATCGAATTGAAATAAATATTAAATCTCGAATAGTTGACGAGATATTAAAATCCAATTTATTTTTATGAGTTTCTATCTTGCGCACGTAATCTTTATGATGAAATCGAGCTTGCGATGCTCGGCAATTAATTTGTGGATTCAGGGGGAATCTCGTGCCCGTGGCCTTTCGCGATTTGATCGGATAATGTCCGGCTTAATTGCACGGAACTTGCCCAAATAGCGGGTAATGAGGGGGACTCATCTCATTTTTGCGGCAGAATATTGCAACCCTCAGGGGCAACCCCAAGAATTGTCATCTTTCTGTGGGGTTGTAATGGGGTTCGGGCCCCTTCTCAAAAACCTTACATATGGCGTGTTATTTTGCTTACGCATCGATTAGCATCTAACTTCAATAAGGTCCCCCAACATTTGGGGGAATTCCCTGCTGACCCATGCCAAAAAAAGACTTTTAACCAATTCCGTTTACTCGGAAACCGGGAGCATTTAAAAGCCCTGCCTGCGAATGGAAAAGATATAGTCTGGGGGACTCTCAGTTTGTTTTATTGTGCTCGAGGGTTCAGAAATTCGCAGCCTTTGACAAACGAAAACGGAAATATTTTTATTAAAATTAAAATGCTTACGCAGACTGAGAGGCAACGGGTTGGTTTTGTGGTTTCATACGTTTTTTTGGGTGCAATGGCAACCCTTGGAGCCTTTGTCTATGCATGAATTATGGGGAATCCCCGGCTGCCGCATCCTAACCATTTTATATTAATATGCGGCTCAGTCTGGCCGCAAAATTTTAATCCTTTTAAGTGAGACCAGCCAGGGGCCGCCAGACATCGGCGAATCATTTAATCTTTTTATTGAATTGCCCTTCGAGTTTTTTGGCAATCGAAGGGATTCGCATCTGTTTGGCGGGCATAAATCTAATTTTCTGTGGCCCAATGTGACTCCCTCGTCTCCGTATGCAAATCGTCATCGGTTTACTGTTGTCATAACAATTCCATTAACAAGGCCTGTCCGTCTGGTTTGGCATATTTATGAGCTTAGGAAATTGAATTGAATTATTCAGAGCGACAAAAAGGAGGCCCCTCTAATGCACATGTCGATGGTATCGTTTCTCGGAATGAATTGGATTGGCAAGGGTTTCCTTCCCTTTTTGCCAGCCTTTCTTCATTTTGCGAATTGTAGTTAAATGTATTCTATGCCAATCGGCCGGCAGATCAAGCAATCAGCTAAATAATGAAAACATTTTTGGGGAAATGCCCCAAAACCGCACAAATGCAATGTGTCTGGTCTGGTCGACGCCACACGCACCGCCGAGCATAATAAATCCGATTCGTATCTGATCTATCCCAACATCATCAGGGGTTGACATTTAAATTAACACCCACATGGTAATGTGGGGGTTGAAATCATGTCCTGTTTCGCAGGATTCTCCTTTAGTCCTTTGGCTTTGCTGCTGGCAGTTGGTTGTAATAATACGCTGTTGCTCTTTTGGTTTTGACATTTAGTTTTATTTTTCGCTGTAAATTTTCATTGATACAAATGAAAATGGAAACTTGAGTATAACTATCATACTATTCAATTTCGTTTAAATTACATAATATTAAACTAGATGTTTGCCATTAAATTTCTCTGCTTAGTTCCCTCTTTGTTTGCTTGCTGTTTTCGTTTTTCGCTTTAGTTTTTAGTTTTGTTTCCCTCAATTGTCTAGTTGGTGTTTGTTATTTTATTTTTACACAAATCAAAAGGTCTCTGGTTGAGGATTAAGCACATCAACTAAACACTATAAAGCAGGGGTTCTGGTTGGTTGGTTGGGATTATAGGAGATGCAGAGGACAGAGACGACAGAGGGTCGAACACAACAGAAATGCAACGATAATACAGAAAAGTACGTATAGAGTTGACTAAACCGAACCGCGTAAACTAGTAAATTAAATTAGAGACTTCACTAGAATCTGTATGTTTTTTCAGTGTGAGAGTGTGTGTTTATTTCTCCGTTTGTGTGGGTGTTTCTCCATGTGTGAGTGCTTTGTTTGAGGGGCTGCCTTCACGAAAATTCAACATGTTTGAAAAGTAAGTTTGCTTGGACATTTAGTTGTTGATGTTTCTGCAGCCGCTGGCATTTGGAATTGAATTAAGTTTGTTTTAAATTTGCAGTATGTGTTTTTGGATTCGGCATGTGAGGATGCCCGCTCTACTCCTTGCGCGCCTGACGCTTGCGTTGTTTTGTGTTAGTTTCCTGAAGGGATCAAAAAATGTATTTTATTAAAAAAAGCTATACAGTGAAACCCAGTCAAACCCACCTCAGTCTGTGCGGGCTCTTCTTGGTTCTCCGCCGCCTTGGTCTCCTCCTCGTTATCATCTAATTCAGCCTTTTGGTTCTTCTTTTTGGGACTAGCGGACAGCGGTGTGCTCTCCTTGCTGGAATCTCCAGCGGCCCTCTCGCCGGACAGATCGCTCTCCTCCTCCTCTGCCTCGGGCTCATCGTCGGGCTGTGGTTCGTCGGTCTTCTTGGCTTGGGCAGCCGCCTTTTTGGCAGCCGAGTCCTGTTATTAAACACCAGTATTAGAAAATCCGTTGAAATACTAGATAAATCAAAGCTCAAGCCACACGTTACCTGACTCTTAGCGGTACCAAATCTACAGTAGATGGTGATGGCCACCAGCGCCACAATGGCCACCAGGCCAATTCCCCAGATCGAGGGATAGGCCTTGGCTAGCTCGACTACCTTATTCACGAATGAGTCCTATGGAATGAGAAAGCCAAAAGATAGCAGTAGCAATTACGGGTGCAGGGTGCAAAGGCCAAAATGAGAGTGTTCATGTGATGGTGTATCCAAAGTATTTTCTAATTTAAGAGCAAAAGAGATAAACCTCTTTGGCGCGTCGGTAGAGATAGAAGACATAGCAACTGGCCGGAATGAGCAGGTACAGGAAGTACAGAGCCCACCATCCGGGCTTGTAGTTCATGCGGCGCATCAGGCGGTGCCAGAAGGTTTTCTTCGGATCGGATAGAACGTTCTCTCGATTATGTTTCTCTGTGTATGTTTTTGTGGAGGGAAATGGGAAGAAGTTAAGGGTCAAAACTTACCGATTCGCGATCGATGTAGCGACGCTTAATGTCGAAGCTGTTGGCGGCAAAGTCGCGGGCCACCTCCACATCGTCGGTGATGATCAGATTGTCGAAGAGAATGTCGCTGGACATGGACCACAGCTCCAGACCCACAGCGCTCTAAAAAAATAAAATTAAGATATAGTAAAACAGAGAAATAAAGCCATGTATGTATCCCCTACAATTGGCGTCATTTGGAAGGGCTTGAGATCCTCAAAGAAGTCCGGATTGGCAATCTTCCTGGGCGCCCACTTGCCCTGGTAGTTGGGGTTCTCGATCATCGGTGCACGCCACTTGCCCTTGTAGTTGGGATTCGGGATAAGCGGAGCCTTCCACTTGCCACAGCCGGCGGCCTTCTCGCAGACGGGATTGTCCACCAACGGAGCCTCCCACTCGCCATCGATTTCGGCATCCCAATCTTCGGGTTTGGTGGCCGTGGGATCGAAAATCATGTCGGGCTCATCCTCCAGCCAGCCGTTGGGCATGACGGCATCCGTATCGGGCAGCTGTGGCGGGGCATCCTCGTCCCAATCCTCGGGCTTGTGGGCCGTGGGATCTGGGATCTTCTCGCGCTCATCCCACGCCTCTGGTTTGTGATCATTGGGGTCGTCGATCTCTGCTGGGGGGTTGACGGCGGGCTTGAAGTCGGTCAACAGAGATCCCTCGTTGATAATCTTGTGGTCCACGCGAATCTCGAAGCTGTTGTCGGGACGCACCACCAGCTGGTACAGATGGGGCAGCTTGTCCTTGAACGGCTCTTCCAATCGGTTCCTACAAGCAAACGAGCGAAAGGCAATTAATCACCGATGGGATTATAAATAAATGGTTTATCTCCCTCTTTAGTCAGGCCATCGATGGGGGTCACGGTGATAAAGGTTTCAATTGCAGCTAGTATCAAACTTTGCGAACAAAGGCTATTTGTTTGGTTAATTCTAAATGATAATAGCAATTAAGACTTTCAAACTATTCTTCTACACCACTTTTGACTAAAAGACTTATGGATAAAGTGGTGGTTCTATTGATGGAAAGCCAAATACCCATTTCGTCACATTTAGAAGAAATTAATACGCTTGACTGAGCTTTCGCCGCTTGATTTGGCATCTCGCGAAGAGTTGTTTTCATTTAATGGACTCACTTTGGCTTGTTGCAGTGCTTCTCGGTGATTGTGCCATTAATTGGATTGACGTGCCGGAATATGAAGTGCATTTTCACATCGTTGCCGCACTTGTCCGGTCCAAACATGATGGTATATGGGGTCTTGTCATTGAACTACGAATAAACAGATTCGGATTCGGGGGTTGTTTATGTTTTATGGTCTTTTGGGGTTCGAGCAGCTAAACACAATGAGGGCATTGCCTTCCGCACTTACGGCTTTGAGCTGTTCCGTATCTTTTCCAGCGGACAGAAGCTTCAGATACGAGCCGCCGCACTCCTGACCCTCCTGCAAAAAGAGAATAAGCGGGGGAGAACGAAGCGAAGTGGGTCAGTAAGCGGGTATTAATTGGATTTGCCCGGCGGCTGATGCAATCGCCGGGCATTTCGGTGGGTGACGAACCTGCAACGTGACCTCGTACTGCACCACCAGCGGTTTGTCTTGCTTGAACTCGAAGGGCTGGCGCAGCGGTGCGGATATGGCCGCATGCTTGGCCTTCGACTTGAGCACCAGACCCAGGTCGTTTGCCCAAACGATGCGCTGCGGCGACTCCCAGTTCCAGATGCCATCGTACTTGGAGATCTCCTCGGCAATGTCGTCCTTCTTGGCCTGCGACAGGACCCACCTCTTCCTGGAGGCCTCCACGTCGTCGAAATGGTCCGCAAAGTGGAACTTCTTGGCATCGATCACCGGGCTCTCGTAGGCCAGCTTCTCATCGCCTTCGGTGGCGGTGGGCTCCTCCTGCAAGAGATATGTCGAAACATTAGATAAGGTGCGATGAAATCCAGAGCACGCGGCTGTCAGTGGGGGAAAGTGATAAAGAAAGAGAAAAATGGGTGGCAAACGTGGGTTTCAATTGGAGAGCGCTACAGCAGCGGGTAAATTACTAGTTACGATGTGTAGCAGGATGGCTACGTAGTAGTATGTATGTATGTATAAGTTACTGTATTCCTTCTAGAACATTCTTAAATATTCTTAGAGTACGTTGTTGTTGTTGTAGAGCTTGCTCTCTCTCTTGCGATCTCACCACACTCACTCTCTCAGAGAGTCGGGGGTTGGTTTGAGTCGTGAGCTGAGAGCGAGTTCAGTTGAATACCAGCAGTGATCCTGACCAGATAAACTTTGTGAAATAAAATAATAATAAAACTATAAACTATTTTGTGTAAACATATATTCTACTGTGTGGTATTTCATTAATAGGGACATATATCATACCCCTACAAAATCAGAAGTGGGCCGATTACGTGCCAAACAAATTAAAAACTGCAAGTTTAAAAACTAAGAAAGTGAAGCAATTTAATAAAACAAAATGGATTTGAACAAAGTATCGATAAAACAATTAAAAATATGGTTAAGTGTATTAAAATGTTCAACGACTGGTACAAAACAGGAGTTGATTTTACGTTTAAACAAATTACCAAGCGAAAAACGCAATAAGTTTAACGAAATGAAGGAGAACCGAGACGGCGAAAGAAGTAAAGGAGAAGACGGAGGCAAAGAGAAATTCCAAGAACGAGACGGCGATAGAAGTAACTGCAAAGACGGCGGCATCGAGAATTTCGAGGAAGAAGACGGCGACAAAAGTAACAACGAAGACGGCGGTAAAGAGAATTACGAAGTAGAAGAAGGCGACGAAATTAATAGCGAAGATGGAGAAGGCAAGAACAAAGTTGGCGAAAAGAACGACAAAGGCGAAGACGGTGAAAAAGTTCGGGAATATATACGCGAAGATGGAGAAAACGAAAGCGAAGCTGGCGAGGAAACAAGAGGTGAAAGAAGCTACGAAAGAGACGGCGAACAGAACAAAGGTGGAGGCAGAAATCGAAACTGTGCAGAAGTGAACATGCAGAACCAAGCTGGAGAGAAAGAAAAGACGGAGAACAATTTTAATCAAAGTATAGACATTTCTTTGAGAATGGCTACGCAAGTGTTGTGTGAGTTTGCGGGCGAATCATGTGCGCGCAAATGGATCACTCGGATATATAATATCGCAAGCATCTACGGTATAACCGGAAATTATATAAAAATGTTGATGATTAGCAAAATTAAAGGCAAAGCTAATGTTTGGTTGCACGCAAATGCTGGGCGTGTTTTGTTACCATTGGAGGAATTGACGGCTGAGCTGATCGCAATGTTTGGCGAAAAATCATCAAAGCTGGAGATAAGGCGCAAATTTGAGCATCGCAAATGGAGTGCAGGCGAGACGTTCGGGAGTTATGTTGACGACAAGATAATGCTTGCTCAGGGCATTAATATTGATGGAGATGAAATGTTGAGCTGCATCATCGAAGGTATTACAAATCAAGGGCTGCGCAATCTGGCACACATTCAAAGCTTTGTGGATGTTGGGCACATAAAGCGAGCATTTGCGGATGTTAGATTGCCGAAATCTGTTGGAAAACCGATGACATCATTGGACTTCAAGGACAAGAAGGAGACACGATGTTTCAATTGCAATGCCAAAGGGCATTGGGCGAACGAGTGCAGGAAGTCAAAACGGGAGAAAGGATCGTGCTATGCGTGCGGCGAGATGGGACATTTTGTGGCGACGTGTTTGAAGAGCAAAAATAAGAACACAGGCAATAATAATTATGTAAGATACGTTGAAATCAATTTTATGAATGATATTAATACCAAGTTAACTACAGAATGTCTCATAGATACAGGGAGCCCGATTTCATTTATTAAAATATCAAAAGTACCAGAAAAAGTTTGCAAATTACCAGTTTTAAATTTATATCATGGATTAAATAAGAGTTACTTAGAAACTTATGGAAAAATATTATGTTATGTTATGAAGAACTTAAATAAAATTCATTTTCATTTAGTTATTGTGGCAAACAAATCTATGAGTCATGATGTAATCCTTGGAAGAGATTTTATGGAAGCATGTAATATTAATTTAAACCTCGACACTTTGAAAATGGTTACGGTTGAGAGCATTGAAAACCCTCCAAATGTTAGTGATATTGTTAGAAATGTTAGAGAAGAAAAGCAGATTGTTAGTGATATTGTTAGAAATGTTAGAAAAGAAAAGCAGATTGTTAGTGATATTGTTAGTCATGAAAACCAGATAGTGATAAAATTAGCGACAATAGGCAGATGATTAGAAAAGTTTGTAGTAAAGTTATAGATAAAGAAATAGTTAGGAATAGCAATGAAATAGATCTAGTGGCAAGGGAATTGTTTAATATTAATATTATAGATGAAAGTCCAGATTACAAAATTGGCAATGAAGTGAATTATAATGTTAGGCGTCATTTTATTAAAATGGTAGAAAGCTGTTATGTAAATAAACAAAGACCAAAGGAACCCGAAGTTAGATGTGAAATAAAATTAAGATTAGAGGATTCTAAACCTTTTAGTTGTTCGCCCAGACGTTTAGCTTATACAGAAAAAGAAAAGTTACAGGTTATATTAGATGAATATTTAAACGAGGGAATTATAAGACCAAGTCAATCGGAGTACGCATCTCCAATAGTGTTAGTAAAAAAGAAAACAGGCGACTTACGATTATGTGTGGATTATCGAAAACTTAATAAGACAATGGTTAAAGATAACTATCCTTTACCTTTAATAGACGATTTGTTAGACACTTTAGTAAATAAAACAATATTTTCGAAATTAGATTTAAAACATGGCTACTTTCATGTGTTCGTGGACAATGACTCAATAAAATATACTTCATTTATGACGCCATTAGGACAATTTGAATTTATGCGGATGCCAATGGGACTAAAAAATGCTCCTGCGGTGTTTCAGCGATTTATTAATACAATTTTTGCGGACATGATTAGGGATGGTAAGGTAGTAATATATATGGACGACATTATGATCGCCAGTAAAGAGATACAGGAACATTTAAATGTTCTTAGGGAAGTTTTTGATCGTTTAGCAAGAAACAAACTAGAATTGAGAATGGACAAATGTGAGTTCTTACAAGCAAGTGTACAATATTTAGGATTTTTAGTAACCAGCAAAGGAATACAAGCTAATGATAAAGGAATAGAAGCTGTTAGAGATTTCCCTGTTCCAGATAAAGTACATGGTGTTAGAAGCTTTTTAGGTTTATGTTCGTATTTTAGGAGATTCATTAAGAATTTTTCGATGATCGCAAAACCATTATATGATCTGTTAAAGAAAGATAAAGAGTTTGCATTTGAAGAAAGGGAACTACAATGTTTTGAGATGCTTAAGAAAATGTTAGTTGAAGCGCCAGTGTTAGGATTATATTATTATAAAGACGAGATAGAATTGCATACAGATGCAAGCGCACAAGGTTTTGGAGCGGTCTTACTACAAAGGAAAGAGGATAAAAAGTTGCACCCTATTTTTTATTTTTCAAAGGCCACAACAAAAGACGAGGCAAAATATCACAGTTTTGAACTTGAAACGTTAGCAATAATTTATGCTCTACGAAGATTTAGAATTTATGTGCAGGGTAGACGATTTAGAATAGTTACTGATTGTAACTCACTGACGTTAACATTAAATAGGATTGAGTTAAACCCTCGAATTGCACGATGGGCATTAGAATTGCTTGAGTATGACTTTGAGTTAGTTCATAAATCGGGAAAACTTATGCAACACGTAGACGCGTTAAGTAGGAATACGAATATACTGGTAGTAGAAACGAATAGTTTTGAAGACAATTTAATTATTTGTCAAGCGAAAGATGAGAAGTTGAAAGATGTTAGGAAAAAGTTAGAAAAAGAGGAAGATAAAATGTTTGAGATGAGGAATGGAGTTATTTATAGAAAATCAAATGATGGGAAATTGTTATTCTGTGTGCCAGGAGAAATGGAGGACAAGATATTATACAAATATCACAATGAATTAGGTCATTTAGGACGAGACAAGGTTATGGATGCTATTGTTAGGACGTATTGGTTTCCGAATATGAAAGAAAAAGTTGTTAGGCATATTGATAATTGTTTGAGATGTGTGGCATATTCGCCGAAGTCGGGAAAAGGGGAAGGAATGTTGCACAGCATACCAAAAGGAAATGTGCCATTCGAAATTATACATATCGATCATTACGGACCGGTTGATAATGGAAGATCAAAGAAACATCTGTTTGTGGTGATAGACGGTTTTACTAAGTATGTTAGGCTATATGCAACAAAGACGACGAACACAAAAGAAGTCATTATAGCAATGAAAGATTATTTTAGGTCGTATAGCAGACCAACATGTATCGTTTCGGACAGAGGAAGCTGTTTTACATCGGAAGAGTTTGGAAGATTTGTCGAAGAATATAATATTAAGCACGTAAAAATTGCGACTGGGTCACCTCAGGCCAATGGGCAGGTGGAAAGAATTAATCGAATAGTAGGGCCAATGATAGCTAAATTAGCAGATCCGGAAAAAGGACTGCATTGGGATACAGTTGTTGAGGACGTTGAATTTTCATTGAACAACACAAAGCAAAGAAGCATTGCACAAATGCCGAGTAAAATGTTGTTTGGAATCGAACAGAAAGGAAAAGTTATTGATGAATTGAGGCAAAAGTTAGAAGAATTAGATAATGTTAGTGATGTTAGAGATGTTAGAGATTTAGACAAAATTAGGAAAAATGGAGTGGAATCGCAAATCAAATTACAAAATGACAACGAAAGAAGATATAATGAGAAAAGGAAAGATAGTTTAGAATACAAAGTTGGAGATTATATTATGGTGAAAAATTTTGATAATGCAGTAGGAGTCGCAAGGAAGCTAATACCCAAACACAAAGGTCCTTATGTGATAGATAAAGTTTTGAGAAATGATAGGTATGTAATAAAAGATGTGGAAGGTTTTCAATTGTCGCGTTGCCCTTATCAAGGAGTCTGGAGTAGTCAAAATATTAAGCATTGGATTGGTAAACGAAAATAGCTGTAAATATATCCAAAGAATTGTAAATGTAAAGACTGATAGTATGTAAGATAATATTAGACGAAATCAATTGTAAATTAAACCAAGATCAGGGGATCTTGAAATGTCAGGACGGCCGAATTGTAGCAGGATGGCTACGTAGTAGTATGTATGTATGTATAAGTTACTGTATTCCTTCTAGAACATTCTTAAATATTCTTAGAGTACGTTGTTGTTGTTGTAGAGCTTGCTCTCTCTCTTGCGATCTCACCACACTCACTCTCTCAGAGAGTCGGGGGTTGGTTTGAGTCGTGAGCTGAGAGCGAGTTCAGTTGAATACCAGCAGTGATCCTGACCAGATAAACTTTGTGAAATAAAATAATAATAAAACTATAAACTATTTTGTGTAAACATATATTCTACTGTGTGGTATTTCATTAATAGGGACATATATCATACCCCTACAGATGCATTAACATTTTTTTTAGAAAAAAAAATATAAGATAACAGGTTTGCTTCGATCGGCATGACCTTTGATATAACAAAATATATAAACTTTGGTAATTTTGTTTCTTTTTTGGTAATAAGCAAACTGGATTTTGGCTTAATAAATACAAAACTGCATTTATAAATTTATAATTGATCATAAATTATTTTATCTTTCAGTTTTAACTCCTATCCAAATTATATAATCTTTGATCTATTTGTATATTTAATTTTATTTTCAAAGCTCTTATCTACTTGACCTCGTCTGTGGCTAAGCATGTTTCTCAAAGCATTAAGATTTTGAATGTTTATCAATTAATATAAATCATCAGAGATTCTTGGAAATAATGAAACTGATGAATAAACGAAATTTCTCAAGAAACTGCTAAAACTTTAGCTCTCAACTCTCGCGAAACTCTGATGTAACCTGTGGATCATCAGATGTGTGTGCATTTTTAGGGCTGCCATAAAGAGTGCTATCTGCTTGACCTCATCTGTGGGTAAACAGTTGATTTTCCCTCGCATTCGTAATTGTATGTTTGTTGCTTGGTGGAAAAGCATTCAGACACACTAGCATGCTAATTGTGGGTCATAGAGTGAAAAAGCCGGCCGCACCACCCCCCTCCCTCCCCCCATCCATCCGCCCATGCTGCTTTTTTTCTAGTAGCTTCTTCCACTGACGTGTACTTTTTTTTTCTCTCGTTTTTTTATCTTTCGGATCGCCGCGGCAAACTCACCTGAACATCTTCCACATATCCATCCTCGAAGTCGTCCGATTCCGAACCCAAATCGGCCGCTTTAGCCGTACTTATCAGCAGCAAACCGCAGGCGAAAAGCAACGCCAGCGTTGCGCCCCGGTTTCCTCCCATTTTCCTCGGCATTTTCACCCACTTTTTCTGCTCCTCGCTCGTTGCGATTTTCCTTCCCTTTCCGCGTCGCTTGGAAATGGAAAACCAGGCGGTCTACTGTTCAGCGAATTGCCCCACTTGCGCTTCTTTTCACCAGGTTTTCCGGACTGCGGACTGTTGATTCGAGATCTGGCACGACGAACTATTTGTAATTAAATTATAATTTATACATTTTCTCGCTGCCTACTGTGTGTGATTAGTGGTGGCCCACAATCGATTCGGCGACACTTTCGATTTTCGAGGTATATCGATTTTCCCACCCCAGACGCCATCCGAGGTTCGGAGCTCCGATAGGAATGTAGCCGGGACTCAGCCCCCGACTATACTGAAACGTTGCATACTTTTTACTGCTGAGCGTAAAAGAAACTATTTCTTTATTTAAAAGTCAATTAAAAACTGCAAAAAATAGATTTAAAGTTGTTCTAAAACTGAGGGCTTCAATTAATATAATCGGAAAAGCAAAAACCAAAAATAAAAGTGTTTAATGTAGCGACTATTTTGGCTTTGGTTGCATACTTTTGGTTGCATGCATTATATGTTGCATACTTTTTTGAATAACACAAATATCCTTAATTCTAGCTTTCAACAAACAAAATCAGTATTTTGTCCCAAAAAAACAAGAAATTGTCTAAATATTAAGTGTCATACCGTTTTAAGCAATCGATTGGCATTAATTCTAATTTTCAACCAAAAACGTACAACTTTTATTTGTAAATTGGTGGAACAGAATTGAAATCATCAATACTCAGCCGTCGATCGGTATTTTTGCCGATCAAAAAGCACTTAAAAAAATTATTAATGACCAAAGTCCTAATTCATATTTCCCATAAAATATGGCAGTAGGTTTCTATCACAGAAAAGAGCTCTCACTCTAGCAGTGCATTGTTTTCCCTCGGTGCCCATATTGAAATTAATATTTCTGTGAAGTGCGATTCCATTGAAATATTGAAATACATTTGTTTTTCCAGCGGACATATCTGAATCAAACACTTCGCGGTATAAAAGTAAACTTGCATGTTGGCAATTATTTTAAAAGCCCGTTGGCTCAATTAAGGCTCCACAACGGCAATTGCTAAGCCCCCCAATAAACTTGATGGTTTGCAAAAGTTTCCCTTTTCCTGTCCTGTGGCTGTGTAAAATATAGTGGCATGCATTTGAGCATAAAATTATAATAAAAATGCTTGGCTTATTGAGTGGGTTTGTGGGTGGGGCCATTGAAAACCGCGCCCTTTTTCTACAGAGAGAAAAGATCTAGTGACTATTTTAGGAAAATAAATCTAACTTGTAAAAATTACTAGATTTGTTTTCAAAATTATTCACGTTCACCAGGTTTCACAGGTGTGTATTGTAGGTGGGAATACTTAAAAATATTTCTTTCAGTGTAGATCCTTTAACTGTGGCAACTTATCTGCGGCACGCGCATCTCTGCTTCTTCTTCTATCGCTGCCACTGACAGTTTTTTTGTTTTCCTTGCTTTTTTTGTTTGCAACTGCATACAAAAAGCTTTCTGTTTAATGGAATATTTAACACAATTTAAAAAGTTTTTTTTCTAAAGACAAACAAAGACTCGGAAGCACACATGTGGGTGGTAAATATATAGTGGGGGGTGGCCCGAAGAAGAGGAGCCTCCGGACTGGATAAAACTAAAACGTGCACACAGACATTTCTTTTTTTATGGAAATTGTGTAATGACAGTTAATGAGGGTACTACATAAACAGACACAAGCACACCACCCACACTTACACTTTTGCAAAACCCACACCTGTGCAAAAACATCCAGTGTTGTCAAGTGTTCTATTAACAACGAGGCCAGCTTACCAACACTTGAGCTGGATTTTTACTGAACGCAGCGTCACTGTGGAGAAAGTAAGAAACTAAAGCAATTAATTTTTAAAATTTGCAAATATCTTTTTTGCATTTACAAATTTATTCATTTAAATAAAAACTAATTTTTTTAAGTTGAAAGTTAAAGTTGGATTTAAACCTGAAATGTTTATGGGAATTTGGAGTTTAAAGTCAACTTTAAATTTAACATACGGTCAAGAAAATGGTTCTACAAGTATTGGACTATAGGAGCTACAGAATGATTTAGTAAGTTAGATTGGCCATCTGAAATATATTACAAAATAACTAAAATATACATTTTAAACTTAATATTCAGAAAATATAAGCAAAAATGCCCAAACTAGTTTGGAGTATGAGCTCGGCTAAATCGGTGCTAATTACGAATATATTAAGTGCTTTTTAGATTCCCGAAAGCTTTTCACTCCAAGTTTCAAACTTCTGGGTAATTTATAATAACATTTACCTAGTACATAAATATCCTCGCCTGCAAGGAAATTGGGGGAGAGCGGAGCAGCCATCTCCCATTGTGCTCCTCTTTTAAAACAGCAGCTCTTGTCTACACGAATTACTCAAAAAACATACTTAACACACTCACCCTCTCAAAGGAATTAATGGGAAGAGGGGAGGGGCGGAAGAAAAGGGGGCTGGGGGTCGGGAAAAAGCGGAGCTGCGACTACAGGACATCAATGTTGATGGCATACCAGAAAAGTTTTGTTCTAAGCTTTTGGACAGCGCCGGCAGAATCTCAAACATTTTCACCTGCAAGCAAATAGCGGAAGAGAGGTGTTTTCCAGGGGGGTGGGGGGTTGAAGGGCGGAGGGCTGTTGGCCGTGGGTTTTTCCGGGCCAAGAGGAGAAGTATCCGTGTGCGAGAGAGTATCAAAACATATGAAGGAAGCGCCGATACAAGCGCACGAGTTCAACTTAGTGTGTACTTAACTTCCGTTACATGGCCACCACTACACCTGCACACCTCACCCACACCCTCGCACACACATCCTTTCACACGCATGGCCAGCGCCTCACATATACGTGCACGCAGAAAAATGGGTTAACAATTGCCAAAAGCAACTTATTTTTAGTCATTAGGGAATTGCTCTCCTTTTTTATAGAGTACTTTGGGTAATATTTTAAATTTGAATACCAAAACTATTTTTAAAATCTTATTTAATATGAAGATCAAGGTTTCTTAAAAGAACTTTTTAACATTTAGAGTTGGATCTTACAATAATTGTTATTTCAATAATGAAATATACATTTTGATTCATTACAAAAATAAATTCAGTTGTTGGAATTGTTTGGGAAACCCATTAAAATAAATTGGATTTGTATCGTGGGTATTTATTATAAAGGCAATAATAACCATAAATATTTTCTCACAGTGATCGTGTTTGTTTGTTTATGCCAAAAGTGTTGTAAAGTGCGGCGCTTTGTCGGCAGGAAACGCTGAAAATTTATTACCGGACAATTTTGCCGGGGGCATAAAAAAGAGAGCCCACCAAAAATGGGGGCGGGGCAATGGGCGCCCAGGGGGCGGAAGAGCCTAGACTACACACACATGCCTAAAAAAATCTGGAACAGTCGAGGGGAAAGCGCAAATGCGGCGAGGGGGTGGGGTGTGGTGATGGGTGGTGCGGAAAATGTGTAAGCAGGCGGGCCATTTTCCATTAAAAATTCAAAATGCCCGACGCCCAGCCCGCCATTAACACCCCGAGTATCTGTGTGTTCGGGGGAAAACCTCTTCAACTTCACCTTTCCCCGCCTTTCTTTGCTTTTCCTTTCCTTTTCTGCGCTTTCAACACCTCGTTTTCTCACCTTTCGAATGGGCTCTCTGTGTTCGCCTTTCACTCTGTGTGTGCTGAGGAATTTGCAGCGCCGTTAAAACTGAATTGATTTGTTATTCATGTTTTCTGACTTATGGCCAACACTTTCGGCTTTCCGCCTACCATTCAATTGACGTGGCCAATGGCGCCGACTTTTCCCCATCTTCACTCTCCGCTGGAAATAGTGAAAATTTAATGCAGGCACTGAATTCAGGAACGGATTTTACAGGGATCAGTACTTTTTTGGAAACTCTTTTTTATGTAAAACCCACTGGCAAGAGAAACCGTGGAAAATCCACAGTAAAAATAGTTTCGCATAAAATGGTATGCGCATTTATTCATAGACTTTTGTAAATATTTTACACCAAATAAAATTGTTTTATTAATTATATTATAATAACGACTCTAACTACTCTTACTTGTTTATTGTATTTGTTAATATTCTTAAACCCACTTTTATGAGTATTTTATAGTTTCTTCTTTTATTAGGTTTATTATTTATTTATATTATATTATATATTTATATTATTATATTTATATCTATTTTCTCCCCTAACATAAACCGCCCCTGGACAACCCATAATAGCCTGGTTGGAGTCGAGCCTCTGGCTTGGATTTTATATTTATTAAATTGCCGCAAGGGAAGCATTTAGTGCATGTTTGAGAACACAAAAAGGAAAGGCAAGGCAACAACACAGTGCCTTGCTGACTAACATTAATGTTGATACACACTTACTTTAGACTTTCCCATAAAAATGTTTATAAAAATTTTAAATAAATATAAGTATATTATAATACATATCACGTATAAATTTCTCGAAAATCTTATTCCAAACAATATATTTTTAAATTTTCATTCAGCCACCAAAGATTGTCAAATGCCTTTACATAAAAGTTTTTCACAGAAATTGCCTAAATGAGTTACCATTAAAAAGGGTACGTGGTAAATGGGGACTTGGGTCACAAGTGGCCAATAGCTTGGTAATTTTAGTGGGAGCGGACTTTCTCGAATGAATTAAAATTCCATATTATTTGCCCCGCAGAAAAAACACAACATTTTAATGAACCAGCGGCCTGAGATGTGCATAACAAGTGTATAATTGCAATGCATAAAAAAGCGGTTCTTCAATTACGCAATCCATTCACCGACGAAAAGGATTAATTCTGTGGAGTGGCCTTTTAGCTAATTCCGAATGTATTCAGATTTCAGGTCATTAAGTGCCATTCATATTAATTTCGAGATTTAACCTGCGGCTCTTTGCCGCATTAAATAGTCATTCTTTATGGCAACTTTTACCAGCCAACTAATTTGCATTCCTACCTTTCCCTTCTCATTTTCATTTTAATTTTTCGGCTTGACAATTCTTTCTTTTTTTTGAGCTGGGCCCTGGGAATGTCTAATTTTTAATCACCTCAGTTGACAGGTCAAGACAAATAAAAGCGGTTCGCAATTCGGGCGTGAAACCAAGTTTGCGGGAAGGATTCGTTGCTTTTTGAAATAATAAATCAGGGCATAGGCGAAAATATTTAAATTTAAAT